CACTACCGCAGCTACAGACAACTTCGAGTCACAGTTCAAAATCAGTGAACGAAAACTTACATCGGAGAAATTTCTCAGCTTCGAGTCACGGTTATGTTTTAAAGTAGGGAGTATATATACTTCTCCTACTCGTCCAACTAAGCTCTCTTGCCTATTTATTCAGCTGAAAAACACCTGTGGAGTGCAAGGGAGAGCAAGAGACTAGTGGGGTGATTGAGATTTAATAATTCAAGATTAAGGACCTCATTAGTGCATATGGAGTAGCAAGTGTGCATCCACATTTCTCATTAGGCTTGTCTTGGTCAAGTGAGAGTTTATGCTTGTTACTCTTGGTGATCGCCATCACCAAAATGGCTTGGTGGTGATTGGAAACTTGGTGATCATCCGATGGAGCTTGTGGATGACCCAAGTCATGGTGTGAGCGGTTGTGGGCGATTCACCGCGATAGAGTGTTAAAGAATCAGTCTGTAGAGAGCACTTGATCCTTACGTGGATCAAGGGAGAGCTACACCCTTGCGCGGGTGCTCCAACGAGGACTAGTGGGGAGTGGCGACTCTCCGATACATCGGAAAAACATCGTCGCGTTCCTCTCCTTCTCTTTACTTTGAGCATTTACATTTGAGCAATTCAATTCATGTCTTTACATTCTTATAATTGTCATGCTAGAGTAGGATTGGAACCTAGAGTGCAAAACTTTTATGGTAGAACAATAGAAACACTTCTAGATACAAAGGGGTAAAATAGGCTAAGTGTAGGGCTTAATTATTAAAAGAAATTTAGAATTAGTCTAATTCATCCTCCCCTCTTGGACATCTTGATCCTTTCACTCCCCTTCCTTTCGGCGCTGTGGAGCCATTGGGGAGTGGGTCGGGCTGAGTCGAGTCTCCCGCCACCATTACAACTGCACCGGTGAAGACCGCTCCGCAGTCCGCACCTCCATCGTCGCCCCTCTAGTCCCGTCGTCACAAGACAGAAACGAGTGAATGGGTGGGCTTGGACAGAACGAGGGAGGCGAGCTTCACAGGAGGGTTTCCGCATATTTCCCCAGGAGCAGCAAACGGAAACGGCGTCTACAGTGCCGCCCAATCCAGCTGGACATGCCACATCGGCATTCTTGCTCCCCTGAGTCCACTTTGGACCTGATACACTAAACCAAGTTTACTGCTGCGATTCTGCATTTTTAGAGTACCGGGAACTATTTGAGAACGTGAGACAAGTTCGGTGACCGCAAGTGAAATTTACTCTTTAGACTTTATTAAGACTGACCATGTAACCATTGATCCTACTTTTATGGATCGAAAACAAATGGGTCGAGGCCTAAACGAGACCCAGTGGAGTGTGTGGCTCAATCAGTCAATTGGGATCCGCTCGGCCGCTCGCTCCCCCGTCGCGCACGTCCTGACTCGGTCCTCAAGTGATCCGGTGCGTGCGTTGCGAGTTGCGACGTCCCCCACAACTCCCGCCTCCCGCCCGCCCATTTCCAAGCCTCCCCGCCCGAGTCACGTGGCGCCGGACGCGGCCGCGGCCGCCGATCGGCAGGCGATACTCGCCGGCCGGCCGGCCGACCGACCGAGACCACACGATAGGTTTGTCGTAGTACACTTGCAGTTCTCGCGGATTCTCGCGGTGCCCGGCCCAGCCGCAAATTGGGCGCGCCGCGTGCGTGATTTGATCTATCGATCCTTGCGCAGTTGCGCTTCCCTGATCGTCCGTGGGAAGAACCGAAAGCCTAGTTCATGGCGGCGGCGGCGGCGACCAGGGTGATCGGATCCAAGCCATCGGACTGCTTCCAGTTCATAGACCCTAACACCTGGTACGTTCCCCCCTACATTTCCTATCCCCGGCCATGGCCACTGTCCCGTCTGCATGCAGATCGGTTGCGGATTTGTTCTTTTACTTTTGTTTTGTTTCTAGTTGCAGCGCCGGCCTAGTTAGAGTTTCTTAATTGCATCCGTTGTCTTCAGGCTATAACCTGATCAAAGTTTCCATCTAGGATCGATGATCTTGTAGTAGTAGTAGTTAATTACCGATCCTAATTCCACAACCAAATTTGGATCATACAATACAAATAGGTCCTGTTTGTGTGTGTGTGGGTGGGTGGGTGGGGGGGGGGGCGGTGTTCAGATCACACCTTTCTAAAAACCTTACGACAAAGATATTTCTTAACCACTGATCTTTGGAGCGCTTGCAGGACTTGCATCACGGAGCTTGCAAGCGATGTGGTTGTCCAAGTAGGAGAGGTGTCCTTCCATCTGCACAAGGTATTTGTTTTCCCTCACAGTGCTCATCACATGCATTCTCATTTCTCAACGCTAGAGGATATTTGCTTTTATTAGACTGTCAGATAACTTGCAAGTTTCGAATATGCACGTTTTCATATGCTGACGACGTGCAAGGTGCAACTAAATCCCATCTGCATCATTCAGATGCCGTTGATCAGCCGTAGCGGTACGCTGAACAAGCTTGTGAACGAGTCCACCGGCGACGACGGCGGCGGCGATGACAGCAAACCGTGCACCGTGCGTCTGGACGACGTCCCCGGCGGGCGGAGGCGTTCCTGCTGGCGGCCAGGTTCTGCTACGACGTCCAGACGGAGCTGAACGCGGGCAACGTCGTGCCGCTGCGGTGTGCGGCGGAGCACCTCGCCATGACCGAGGACTACGGGGAAGGGAACCTGGTGGAGCAGGCGGAGTCGTTCCTGTCCGAGGTGCTGGCCGGCTGGAACGACACGGTGCGCGCGCTGGACGCGTGCGACGACGCCGCCGTGCTCCCTGCCGCCGAGGACCTGCTCATCGTGCCGCGGTGCATCGACTCGCTGGCGGACAAGGCCTGCGCCGACCCGACGCTCTCCGGGTGGCCGATGCTGGAGTACTTCACGGCGAAGAGCCTCGAGGAGACGGCGATCTGGAACGGCATCGGCGCCGCCGGGAGGCCGCGGTCGCCGGGCGTGGACTGGTGGTACGAGCAGGCGTCCTCGTTCGGGCTGCCCGTCTACAAGCGGCTCATCGCGGCGGTGCGGTCCAGGGGCATGAGCCCCGAGAACATCGCCGGCTCGCTGATGCACTACGCCAGGGGCCACCTCTCCGGGCTCAGGCGGCGAGGAGACAACAGCGACGGCAGCAGCCGCGGCGTCAGAGCCGGAGCGTCGGGGACCGCGGCCGTGCTCTCGGCCGGCGACCAGAGGACCCTCCTGGAGGAGATTGTTGCGCTGCTCCCTGTCGAGAAGGGCGTCGCCCCGACGCGGTTCCTGCTCGGTCTGCTCAGCGTCGCAACGGTCCTGCACGCCGCCGCGGCGTGCCGGGACGAGCTGGAGAGGAGGGCCGGCAACCAGCTGGAGGAGGCCGCGCTGGGGGACCTGCTGATACCCAACACCGGGTACTCCGCGGAGACCCTCTACGACGTGGACAGCGTGCAGCGGATGCTGGAGCAGTTCATGGTGACGACCCCGCCTGCGTTCGCCGCGTCGCCGGAGACCACGGACGAGGGACAGCTGGTCGACGCTCCGCCGGCCGAGCTCAGGCCTGTCTGCTCGGTGGGCAAGCTAGTCGACGGGTACCTCGCGGAGGTCGGGACGGATGCCAACCTCAAGCCCTCCAAGTTCCAGACCATCGCCGCTCTCGTCCCAGACTACGCCCGGGCAATCGACGACGGCCTCTACCGCGCCATTGATATCTACCTCAAGGTAAAAGCAACAGCTCACCATTGTTCTTCTTCTTGATCGATCTGCCTGCTGCACCTGAGTCTTGAATCGACTGGATAATCATGCTGCACTTGTGTGTGTCCGTGGCGCGACGCAGGCGCACCCGTGGCTGACGGACTCGGAGCGGGAGCAGCTGTGCCGGCTGATGAACTGCCAGAAGCTGTCGCTGGAGGCGTGCACGCACGCGGCGCAGAACGAGCGGCTGCCGCTGCGGGTGGTGGTGCAGGTGCTCTTCTTCGAGCAGCTGCGGCTGCGCACCACTGTGTCCGGTTGGTTCTTCGTGTCGGACAACGCCGACCAGGGCTCCAGCTCCGACAACTGCGTGCTGCCGCGGAGGAGGCCCGACGACGACCTCGACTTCTCGGCCGGGTCCGAGGTGACGACGGAAGAGGACGGCTTCGCGGCGGCCAGGCACGACGAGCCGTCGTCGCCTGCGATGAGCGTGGCGGAGATCCAACGCCCGGGGAAGCCTAAGAGCGCCCTGAGCCGGCTGTTAGGGAAGCTCGGGCTCTGTGGGAGGTCGTCGTCGCGGCAGCAGCAGCAGCCGCCGCTGCCGGGCGCCAGCGACAAGAGGCGCAAGTCTTTCGATTTAGGGTGTTGATAACGGAAGGTTTAGGCGTGCATTGGTTTAGACGTGCGTTAATTAATCTGTTTGAGATGTAGCAATACGATTTGATGATGATATTACTCGTAGGTACAAAGCTCATTGGTTCATTCTTTTCGGATTGTTTTGCTGGAACACAAGTTTTTATTTAGACCGTTTGTAAATTTCTTATCAGGTAACGTTGAGGACTTGAGATGCTTTAGATGTCTCCTAAGGTTCTTTCGTCCACTTTGTTCAGTGTCATCTGACCCCTTGTTGAACTGCTACATGACTATACCTACAGAGAATCCTTCAGCAATTGTGTCCAAAAATCATTGCTTTAACTGGCCACAAAAATGTCAAGAACAGCAAGTAGCTACAGGGCAAAACTTATTAGCTCTGTTTACATGAGGAAAGTTAGGCAGGGGCCCAATTTGAGACCGGGTGGCTCCTATAGTATTGTATCTGATTTTCTCGTTCACCATCCACTATAATATTGTATCTGATTTTTTCGTTCATCATCCACGCATTTGCAGCATATGCTTCGCTGAAAAGTCATGGCTAAAAGAACCGTTCACTGATTTGTTACGAAAGAAAAACATTATTCCTTCGCTACAAGCGAACAGGGCATGGTCTGGGAAAATATGCGGTTGCACAGAGTACTGAAACCGGCAAAATCCAGTCGAACAAAAGAAAGGAAAAAATGACTCGTCAAACTCATGAGAACGTGGTCGAAGAAGTACAAGCGTGAAGGAGCGCAAGTGTCTGCTCCGCAATGGCGCGTTTCCTGGCTTGCTTCACCCACTCGGTAGCTATCTCCTCTGCTTCAGTTCCATGTAATCCTTGCTCCAAGGCATCAACCGCTGTACTCAAGTCTCCATCCACAATCAAGCTTTCTACTTTGTTTATAAGAGACTCAATGCCATCTCCAGAGTTATCGCCTTTAATCTGAAAACAAATGGAATGATTGCAACTCAGTTTAAAATCCCAAGGATAATAATAACTACAGCAAGGTACAAAGACTCCAAGAGGCCCAACTAGGGCCACCAGAAGTGGTGGCAGTGACACAACACAGTACCTGTCCTATAAGTAGAAATGAGATACGCTATAGATTTCAGTATTAGCATATCATTAGATGATTCTTGATCAAAAGATCCAGGAACAGCAATAACAGAAAAAATATTTCAGGAACAGCAATATAGAACTCACAATTGCATAATCACTTATCAAACTGGTCAAAGAAATGATTTCCTTAGCATTTACCTTGATTGAAGAAGCAACACGAGCAACAGCATGTGCCAGGATTCCACCACCACCTGCTGGTAGAAGGCTGAAATGTCTGATAGTTTCCTTCAAGGAGTTAAACTGCACGAGAAAAGATATACTAATTTAGGCATTTAGCTTTTGGGTAGCCAAATTGATGGTTTTAAACAATCATTCATGACAAGAAGCACAGAAAAAATTGTCGTTCGCATTCTTTTTATGCTAATTTAAGTCTAGAACTGGTCAGGGCTCAAAAAACCAAAATCTATGCATTTCTTTTTCATAACAATTGCTCAATGCGAAGGGCGGGCCTGGTGCAAGCGGTAGAGTCTTACTACCTATGACCGGAAGGTCCCGGGTTCGAGTCGCGGTCTCCTCGCATTGCACAGGCGAGGGTAAGGCTTGCCACTGACACCCTTCCCCAGACCCCGCACAGAGCGGGAGCTCTCTGCACTGGGTACGCCCCAACAATTGCTCAATGCATAGTAAGCAACTAAGCATATTGTCATAGGGAATATTATACATTTTATTTAACTGTAAGTATTCTAAATTCCATAATCCACTCAGAATAATAAAGTATGCTGTCGTACACAGAAATAACTTGATATTTTAGTATAGTATCACATACTCAATAAGAGTATGAACAGATGCCTTCATCCATTGCATCACAAAGAACATACATTTTGTTTTCAACAAAAAAGGAGAAGAAAATACCTTTTGCTTCAACCCCATCCGTGTATCTGATCCATAATCTAAAACATCTTCCGGGAGCGACGAAAGAGCCAATTCTAACAGTGAATCTTTGTCAATGCCTTCAACAGATTTACGCAATAGCTCCACTTCTGACCGGATTGGTGATCCACTGGATAAAGCGTGTTCCAAAGCAAGAGTGCCCTGCATGGAAATTAAGAATTTTGTTATTATGATACATGAAAAGAGAGGATAAGTTGACTATAAAGCTTTCAATAGTTAGAACTTGGAGGCAAGCACATAAGGGGATTCAAGTTAACTTACCAGAGCAAGCTTATGAACTGAATGACTCTGCCTAGCTTCTTCAGATCGTGCATAGAATGCCATACACAGCGCATCAATCTGAAATCAAAGCACAAAATAAGGGAAGAACCAAGTGCAAGCAAGCTGAAATTATGCATAACTTGTTTTTCTAGCAGTTTAAGATATAATATACTGGCACAGCAAATATATATAATCAAATTTACTGGCTATAATAATGATTTGCTGGATATAACATCTGGACAGTGTTTGAATGGTAGACTTCAAACAAACCGTGAGAAAGTTGTCGAGGATCCAGGTTCATCATAATCCAGATCATATATTATGACATATAGAAAAAGAGTCAGAAATGCTGAACCTACATCACTATAAATGCAGCTTACAGATGAACCAAAATTTAAAAAAAAAAGTTTTTAGACATCCAGTCATTGTGCTGCTTAACATCCTAATAGCATCACTGGCTAAGAATGGGGAGACAGGAACATTCAAAGGGAAAAGTGAGTGATAGGGAAGCAGCGTGGGCAGAAACTGCCACTACTAGTATTCGGTAGTCAGTACAATCCAAAACAGTACATAATACTCTAAATCAGAGAGTTCACAACCACATGTGCACCAAATCATTTAAGTTAGACAGGCCTCCGTTTTGCAAAACAGAGGTGCAAAGCCAATTTAAGAGGCACCACAGTGCCAGTAGGCCCGACATGCATTTTAAGCTAGTTCACATTATGAAAAACCTCTAATAGCCATTTAGAGCGCAGCCCTATACAAAATTGCATTAAGTCCTTACATTGAGGTTTGCTTCAGCGATCTGTTCAATCTGGGATGCTTTCTCTTTTGCAACAGCGGCAGCCAGTTCAGCTTTTGCTATCTCTTGAGCCTTCTCAATTTGTTGGCTTGTTTCTTCATCCTGTTAAATCAGTAGTACTAAGTTCAGTTACTTAATGAATTTTTTTTTAGAGAAGAGAACTTAAACATATATCAAATCTGACACACCTTCCTCTGCAGCTCATCCTGCAATTTTTGTTCAGCCTTTTCTTGCAGTTCCTTTATTGCAGCAGCATTCTTCAGTTTCTCTTTCTTTAGCTCCTGAGAACAGCAAGATAATTGAAAATCAGAAATTCAATGCAAACAAAAGATTCATATATAATTTTAGCCTACATTGAATAATGTGAAGATACCATGCATATCATACCGAGAATATTGTGCACTTTGCTTTAAACTGTGGTGTTTTTAAAAAGAAGAATTAAAAAAATATCCAGACTGCCACAGGAAAACAGAGTCTCACATGATATAGCTATACTAATTAATTTTACAAGTACACTATGACAGCCAAAGCTTTAGTTAAAGGCACTAGAAGTAGTATTTCCTACATTTTGAAATCTAAGGAAACATAATATGGATCAAATCATTAATCATGTCTACTTCATACCTTATCGAGAATTGCTGCCTCCTCTGCATACATTAGTTCCCTTGCCCTGGTGTCTTTCAGCTCCTTTTCATACTTCTCCTGAGAAAATGCAAAGCATAGCACATAAAACAATACTATCCAATGCCTAATTTAGGGAAAGGTTTGTTGACTGCTTAAAATCCACAATAACTAGGGCGTACCCAGTGCAGAGAGCTCCCGCTCTGTGCGGGGTCTGGGAAAGGGTGTTAGTGGCAAGCCTTACCCTCGCCTGTGCAATGCAAGGAGACCGCGACTCGAACACGGGACCTTCCGGTCACAGGCGGTAAGACTCTACCGCTTGCACCAGGCCCGCCCTTCTTAAAACCCACAATAACTATGGGCGTTAATATAAGTGAGGAAAATAATAGTGTAAACCACAAAGGTAAACTAATGTTGAACCTTATATCCTCAGCAAATAAAGACCATAGATAAGCAAAAAAGATAAAATGTAAATGAATAGCACACCTTCAACTTTCTTCTCTCTTCTGAATACATGTATGCATCTACATCTGCCTGCTTCTTTTCGGCAGCATGAATAGCCTCAATGATATCAAGTACAATCTTACCATCTTCATAAGTTTTTTCACGAACAACTTCATCACTTCTTTTTTCCTTAATGGTCTATTTTTTTCAGAAAAAGAAAAAAAAAAGAGGATAATCAAGTAAATAACATGGAAGAATTGTCATGTGTCATCAAGTTATTTCTAGACACCTCTTTGACAATAGAAAGTCATTTATCATATTGTTATACTCTAAAAACATTAGAACATTGAACTTACTGCATCTTTTGAAACATCAGGTTTATCTTGCAGTAAATATGTCTCAGCAAGAGATTTCTGTTCAACAGCAACAGCTCCAGTGAGATCCTACAGACAAGGATCGATTCAATAATCAGAAACAACATCATCAACCATTGAGAAAACAGGATAGTAATATAGAAGAGTTTCAACATTTGTGCTAGATGGATACTACAGATGGAGGATGCTGAAGTGATGACAAAGAAATAAAATAGTTTATAACAATGTAAAGCTAAACTTTGTGGGATCCCTGTGACAAAAACAAACAGCTCCAGTACTCAAATTAACAGTCCTATAAATCAAAACCAGTTCACAATCAAAATGTGTTCAAGAGTGCCAGCTGTCTGGTCAAGTTAAGTAGTCATAGACAAACATAGATGCATCAATGCAACAATAAACCGTGGGACATGCACACTATGTAAGGCCTACCTACACTGATTTATGTAAACCAAACTGCAAGAGAATTTCATTTGCAATTTTTAGGAATTTAATAAGACCAATAGGACCTGATATAGAATCCATGTTACACTCAGAATTTGTTCAAGTGCCAATTTGGAACTAGGAAACAAAGATACTATCCTCTATCGATCAGCATGCAAATGTTATGATAAGAAAGCAAGCAATGACCACAGAGGAATATATTAATATACCTTTGGTGCATCTGGATCTGTGGGGTGATCATAAGTACTAACTGTTGTTGGGGTTGACTGTACAGGAGGAACTGTGCTGTCTATCTTATCAGTTTGCTGTTCATGAGGAACTTCACCAGATTCATTATCATCGATGGGAACTCTCTTTAGCTCAACTGCTGGAGAATCTTCAGATGGCATTTTAGTATCAGATCCATGTTCATCTGGAACTTGATGTGTCTCATGGGCTAGGGTTTCTGATTTCTTTTCCTTTGCAGGAACAGGCTGATCCCCATTGGTTGGAACCTCTGGTGCCCCCACCCCGTCATTTCGAACGTCCTTTAGAGTATTAGCCTCATTATTACCCTCTTGAACAATCTCAGTGTTTGGTACTGACACGTTTTGTGTCTGGTCAACCTTCTGTTCAGAAGGAATCTTCAGATCTTCATACACCTTTACAGCATCTTCCTTCTTTAAGCTAAAAGGCAATTTCTTGTCCTTAAATTGAAGATCTATATAACCAAGTTGATGTGCACCCATAGCTGCTGCAACAACGACAAGAGTTCCAAGAACAAGCTTTGAAACATTACTTCCCGACTGAGAAGGTTGTCCTTGAGGACCTGGGGCAGCATTCTGTGTAGAACTCTTTGGAGCTGCCTTTGTGGAGTTGCTTCTAGATTTAAGGAATGTTGGACTCTGGACCAGATAGGTCATGTCAGTTCCACTGAACATATACTATCTAGACAAGCTTTATGAAAGCAGTAGGAAAAAATAATTACAGCAGGATTATATTCGGTGCTCTACATGGGAAAAAAACTGGCCATAGCATACTAAGATAAAAGAATCTCCGACCTCGTGAGGATTAGCCAACAAACAACATGGCCATATGTAACACGACTCCAATCCAAGTGGGATATAGCATTCCGTTGTGACATGAGCTTAAGTATCACAACTAAAATAACTCCATCCAAAGCTTACTAAAACAGGAACCAATAACATTACAACAATCAGGCACAGCAGGGAACAGCTGCAAACTCTCATAGAAAATAGGTTTTCCTGATTAAGAAAATAAAGCATCTCAATAATCTGTGTGGAGATCAGTATGCCAGTCACCAACAGTAATCCATTATGACATGAGCTTAAGTATCCCAAGATTGAATACCTAAACCAAACATGAAATGGGATTGATATTACTTTCATAACCAATAAGTAGACATCACTATTAGCTTGAGTCCCCTCATCATCCTAGATCCTGGAACCTTTTCAGACAGGTGAACAAGGGGATCAGCACACCTGTCACAGCGCCACAGCATTGTATTCCAAAAAATCCTTGCTTATTTAATTCAATCTCAAAATGTGCAAACTCTAAAATCCCCTACCGTTACACCACATACAATTACCAGCCTTAGCAGCAAACTAATGAAGGCAGCAGCAATCTAACTAGCTTATTCACCAATTCAAAAGTCTCCTGACTAAGCTCAATCTTCTAGCATAACAGACAACAACGAGAACAAACAACCAACGGGAACGGAACCGCCTACCTCGCCGGAGATCGGTCTGGGGACCCTCGCGAGAGACCGCAGCGGGCGGAGATCCCGCATGAACCTGCAGTGGCAGGAAGAACAGAGCATTAGGCATCGAAACCCTAGGGTGTCGTGGGTTGAGACCAGAGTCAGTGCCCGTACCGGCGCAGCATGATGGGCGATGTCACTGGAGACCACCGTCGCTTGTTCTTCTCGCCGCTGGGGTGACGATGAGGAGGCGGAGGGGCAGTCGAGCGATGCGGCCCCGATCGCTCTGCACGGCCACCGCCCCGTGCCGTGCGACGGCGGCGGCGGCAAGGAGGAGGCGGCGGAGGGGAGGGGAGGGGAGGGGAGGCGAAGGGGGAGAGCGGCGCGTCGCCGGACAGCTTCCTGAACGAACGCTTGGAGAAGAAGTTGGGGATAGTTCGAGATTAGGCCCCTGGATGGAATGCTAGAATTTTTAGTGATTCTTGTGTCTTTATTAGGGCATGTTTAGATGCCGAAATTTTTAGCAAAACGACACTGTAGCCGTTTTTGTTGTTATTTGGTAATTAATGTTTAATCATAGTCTAATTAGGCTTAAAAAATTCGTCTCGTGAATTTCGTCTAAACTGTGTAATTAATTTTATTTTTTATTTATATTTAATACTTCATGCATGCGTCCAAAGATTCGATGTGATGGAGAATCTTAAAAAATTTGGCATTTTGAAAGGGAACTAAAGGGTACCTTACATCAAAATGAACCGCTTCCGGTAAAACTTCTATGTCCCTGTTCGTTTCTCTAAAATTTAGCTTACGCTGATACTTATGCTGATTTATTATGAGAGAAAAAACACTGTTCGTTCGTTGAAAAGTACTACTGGAAAATATTCTTTGCGTTCCAACAAAAGATCTAAAGTAGAAGAGAATAGTAAAACGCTGCATATGAAATGGAAAGTTATAATTCTACCACAGTCTCAAATGCGACTTCACCCATCACACAGTACTACCAATATACCATACAAAAATTTATAAAAAAAAAGTGTCTCTCATCATACATATTAGGCTTTTTGCATTTTTAGCTATGTGACATGACAAAAATAGTTTGGAAGAATACATTAAAGCATTAAAATCTTGACCATCATTGATATCCATATTTGCTAATTCTGCCATGCTGGTGTCCTTCTCATTATTTAGGTAGTTTGGTGCAGCTTCTGGCTCTACCTCATCACTATAAAACAATGTAGCGACGTTATAGCACGACGGAGCCTGAGCCGGTGGAGCTAGATATTGTGGCTCCATCGGCTCCTCTTTCTCGGTTCATTTTTTGCTATAGGAGCGAATAGTAGCGCTACAGTGATTGGGAGGAGACAAACCCCACCTCCCAAGAGCTATACCAAATAGGATCGACATCCACATCCAAATATCCTCACCACTTTCGAGCATATCATTACATTTTATATCATGTACGGCTTCTTCTCTATTTCTCTATGGTATACATGTTGTCACATTTATTTTCTTCTCTCTTGATAAGCCATTTGCTGAGAAACAGCCATTTATGATCAAATTGTCATATATGATTTACCTCACTCCCCACGATCATCAATAATCCATAAGGGGGTAAAGTGGCAAAGAGGATTTGCTTGTTCTTCATTATTAGAGTTGCTGACATAAAAACGCATCATATATGCACCTTGATTGTAGCCCGTGGTGACATGCGTTCAGTGCCGGTTCTAGGATTTTAAGGACCCTCTGGCAATCTCATTGCAATGGGCCCTCTTGACCATGTATAAAATCTTATAATATATAGTCACTAATTTTACTTACAAAACGAAAGCAAATTCAATAACATATTTTTAATTTAACATGTCTGATAATTATCGAGGAACAATGTAGATTAAGCAATATATTTATAGATGTATAATAATTATCGAGGAACAATGTAGATTAAAAAAGCAATATATTCGTTTTCTTTTCTCACCTATGACAAATGTTTCTTAGGTAACATTCTAAAATTCTAACACCTAAATTAGAAGAAAAATATGACTATATGGATACAAAGTACTAGAAGTCTGAAATACTATACAAATAATTAATTTAGATTAAAAGAAAAAAAAAAAAATACCTTGGGCCTAAACAACTAATCGATGATCGCAATTTGTAAGAAGCCAAGAATTAAGATGTCGTCGTCGTGGAGCCCTGCCTGGTCGCTATCCTCGTGCGCCGTGTCCGTGTCTCCGGTAGTCTAGCTCTTCGCGGCGGCGCGGCTCGCCAGCTCCACGTGTGTAAGGCGCACGTCGAGAACTCACGATCGGAGTGTGTTGTGTGCAGCGTGACTCCTCGCCTCCTCTCTACCCAAGGGCCATGGGAAAAAAAACTAGGAAAGAAATGTCGATGTTGTCCTTTTGAACCGCCTGGCCAGTTCCATGTCTCTCTTCTCATTAGTTTGCTAATGCCTGATGGACTATAGGACCTGAGAATTTGTACACCTAGGCTTGAGCCCCTCCTCCGCTTAAGCCCTCGGCCGTCGCAGCTCGTGCCCTACCCGTAGGGCCAGCACTGCATGTGTTAGGTGTGGCGCGGAAGGTAAATCTAGAGGTATTGGTTTCCATAGTCATTCAACGCTAGCATATTGAATGCTCATGCCAGGAAAGTGATTATGGATTTAGAATAAAATAAACTTGACATATATTCTCTCATTTTAAATTGCAACAAATCATCTGGAGTGTAATTTACATCTATACATAGAAAAGCCATAATAAAAACCTATAATTTGAAATGGAGAGAATAATCAATAAGAAAAACCACTATATTGGTGCAATATATGTATCAAATAGAAGATAAAAATTGGAGATAGCATACGAAACTTTTATACAAGAACCGAGGCAAAGCGCTTTAATTTGGCTTTGACTTCTAGACTAACTACTTTATTGCTACTCTTAACTATCTTCTTAGACTGTCTCTAATAGGTGACCTATAAGGACATCCAAATCCAAAATGGGTCTCCAACAGAATACCTATACAGGAGACCCATTTTTTATGCCAGGAGAGACACAACCTAAATCTAAGTATCCTCTCTCCTGGAGACCCATTTGCAGAAATGATTCTCTTTTAGGTCATGTCGTTGGAGAAGATCGAAAATAGATATTGAACCCTTTGCCTGTAGTGCTACCCAAACATAGAACGGGTCTTGTATTTTGGATGCCGCTGTCGGAGATAGTCTTATACCTTTTGTTAGAGAAGGGTCATCAATGGATCACATGGCTAGTCTTCGGCAACTATTAAAGATCGGTTGCACGACTTTTAAGATAATTGAGCACACGATGATAAAGTTGTAGAATAGTTTGTAAAATGATGCCATTGAAATATCTATCTCTAATAATAAAGAGGTAAAATTTTCTTCTTTTTTTACCATTTTTTATGACCTCCTCTAACTAACTCCGTAAATATGAAAAGTATTTATGTTGGTCTCTCTAAAACTCTCCTGTTTTATATGTATATAATAACATATGCAGGCCTTCTTAGGTAACCTGGATCCGGATACGAATCTAAATCGTAATCCAAATAGATCCTTTAAGTTCTGAGTAACTTTGGTACGAATCTAAGTAACTTTGGTACGAATCTAATCATATCCTACTGTCTATAGAGAATGAAACGTTTCTTCAAACCGTCTTTTTTTGTCCTAATAGGAAACCTACGTTCCCTCATGAGCGTGAGTCCATAGGTCACACGCCAAGCAGTTTTATTTGAATATGATACGGCAAGCACACTTGTAAAGAGGCAAAATTTCTGCGGTATTTTTTTTTCTGCCTCTCCTTACTTATCTTGGTGCTATCCGTCCCTGAATTAGATTAATGTTCCATGTATTAGGATTCTTATTAACAGGATGTCAGGAATGGACAGTCATAGAGAGAAAACCATAACGTCAAGGCAGGGGCAGAGGCGACAAAACATACTTCTGCTCTTCGGATCCGATGCATGGAACCTGAAACCGAACCGAAGCCTGAAGCCTAGATCGAATAAGCAACAAGCCCCGCAGTACTAGATGAACACGGCTGACTAGCAGTCTATTCGGTTGGCTGATTCGTATTGTTGTTAGTTCGTTTATATGAGAGAGAAGTACTGCTGGTTGGTTCATTGGAACAGTGTCCATGTGAGAGGGCTGACCAGCCCAGCCAGCCAGTCAGCCCCAGTCGAACACGGCGTAGATCTCGTGCATGGGCCTTCCTGACCTAAAATCCGTGTGCGCAGTTGAGACTCTATCATCTTACAATGTACCGGCACACTTTTTGTTGATTCAAGAATAAAACTTATGTATTATGATGGCTGACATACCAAAGAGAATTGTAAAAGCAAGAATGATGGGATATTTTGTACAGTATCTTAAAGTGGAATAAAAAAAATGTAAGTCTGATTAATTTCACTCCTCTTACTGTAGCAATTAGCACGAGCACGGATCAGCAAATTGTATGCCCCGTTGCAACGGGGATTTTCCGCCTATTTTTTGTCTATCCATTTTTTTATCCGTCTCCCTCTAACTATAAGATAATGGAGAGTTACTTACATCCGGACTTATATATATAACTCGTGCTCATACGAGTTGAAGACTTGGACACCCGAATAGATAATCCTAGTTCAATTTGTTTCTTGATCCCAATAGGAATACTAATCCTAATTGAAATAGAAATAGAAAAAAAGATAAAAAGTATAAATTAGGTAGTTCCTTTGAGAGAAAAATACAAGAAATTTTTTTTATGGTTACGAGAGAAATAGAAGAAAAAAGTTACAACTATAATTGTTTGAGGAAAAAAAACAGAAGAAAAAAATAGAACGGGAGTTGAAAAAAGACAAATCTACAAAAAAAAGGAAAAGAAGACTAATACGGTATGAAATCGGAATATAGGAGCAGACGGAAATAAACAAATCTGGAGGAAAAAAAAGAGAAGAATCTGAACAAAGAGAGAGGGAGAGGAGGTGTGGTCTTGAACCAGGAGAGTCCAAGAAGTATTAGGCTTGGAGAGAGTCCGAGAAGTAGTATAGGCGGAAGAATACATGGAGAAGAAGCGGAAGAATACATGGACAAGAATTGTAGCAGCGATACATATCAGACTCTATTTGTTGATAAATAGCTAGGGGACTCTAATCCACAACTAGATAGAAAAAGAGACATAAGCGAGTCTTACAAAAGAAGCGG